ATCTAATCCACGCCACAATTAAATCCCAACACACAGTCACGAGAGTCACCACCTTTTCGAGACAGTCTTCTTTCTGCAAACACAAGCATTGATTCAGACGGCTAATGACGGCTACAACCTTAAACCTCAACCAGGTTCACACAGTGAAAAGTGAGCACTTGCGCAAGTCGTGCTGATGCTGCGGTGTGAAATGAAAAGGACAGCGTCTTCTGAGCTTTGCGTGTATTTGGTGCGATGCAAACTCCTACGCCCTGGCGCATGGGCGATCTCCCTCAAGGCATCTCACCACCCAAAGGCATTTCCACAGAGTGCCTTTTGGCAGAAGTACGGAACGTCACAGGTCTCGTTCAGAAGGAGCTTCCTTCAGTGTGAAAAGACGGATCATGGAAGGTTGAGGCCAGCTGCTGTCTCTGTGTCTGTGTATGTTGTGTGTGTGTGTGCGTGTGTGTGGGTGTGGGGTGGTGTGTGTCGGTGAGAGCCGTCTAGGCTGTCTAGGCTTCGCATGACTCGTCGTTATGTCTGCGAGCAGCTCCTCTTCGAGCACGGTAAAAAGTTTCCAAAGGTTTGGACATGTAGTGCACATCCGGGAGTTCTACAAGTGTCGGTCTATGCACCACAGGCTGGCTGCAGACTTCCAGAGATTCCTGTCCTTGACCTGACTCTATATATGGTTATACACCAGAATTCCAAAGCCGGAGCCTTCTGACTTGATGCCAAGACCAAGTGGCAGTTCGTGAACAGTGGCTTCTGATGCCACCGCAAGCTCCACTGGCTCGCCGGTGAGGCGGAGGACCCGCACCTTTTCGGTATTAGAAGTCGTGGTCTCAAAGCCACCGAGCCGCATGAGATGTCTCACACGCGTCCTGATACTTCGTATGAAAGGTACGGTCGCACAAGTTTTCTCTGTCCAGTGTTGCCGAGTTCAGGCCCCGGCCTGCAGGGCATCCGTAGTCATCGCTGCGGAACATGGAACATAGCATTGCTAGATCTATTCGGGTCGTCTGTGCAAGTAGCACTCACTGTTTCAAGTGCCATGCCCGATCCGGAGTACCTTGGCCAAAAAAAATTCTGCTCTACGAAATCACCCACTGGATCGACAAATATCATAGCACAGACACGAATCGACAAGATAGAAACCCTGTGAGAATGTCAGAAAGGCGGGCGGTGATGATTCTAAAGACATGCCGCCGCCGAGTTGGAAGGCGAGCCTACAAGGGGCTTCCGTGATCAACGAAGCGCATCTGCACCTTTTTGGCCTCTTGTAGAGCCGTCTCTCCGTGTCTCTGCGACATCTCTGAACAACCTGGCTAAATCCCTTCGGGACTGCTGGCAGTCCAATGAGATGTCCAGTCTGGCCCCATTTTGAGCCTTCACAGCCAATTAACACTGTGCCAGTTCTCCATGGTTGAAAGATGCTTTCGCTGGAATGCAGGTGCAGATATGGCCCGAACAAGCTTTGACTTTTATTTGCGAGGTTTAGCTGGGCTGTTCACTCTGGTAGCGATACTGGATGTAGATAGCTAGAGGACCTGCTAGCATCAGCTAAGTATTCCAGAGCGTATCGGCAAAAAACACATAACCAGCTATGGTCCAATCTGTTTGACAGAAATGTTGTGCATGGTCGAGTGAGCGTACTAGCTGCTTACTAGCTGTTCCTGGTTTTGCGGTGTATTCAATCTTCTCAGACAATTCATACAGCAGGCCGTTGCTACACGTCCATCTTGTCTGACCGATCCTTTGCCGTTCCGGCTAATGAAACTTGTCATTATTTCGCCAAGAAATGTGCTTTCAATCCAGCGATTTCTGCCTCCCGGTTCATGCTTGAGATACACTTAACTTCTCGCATCCTTTACCAACTCTTCCAACAACATTTCAGCTAAAGTTTAAAGCGGAGACGTGTCTGAGGGAAAGGTACGTTGCAACCCGCGAGTGCACACCTCGTCTGGGAGAGCGACGAAGGAAGCATGTTGAGAATAGGGCCGGCTCATGTATCTGCAGCTGCAGCTGCTGGAGCTGAAGTTCGGCAGGCTTATTGCCGCCCTCTTCATAAGATGCTCCGCAGGCGACAAACGATTTCGGCTGGTCTGGCAAGCATACCCTGCATGTTGAGCATGAACTCGAGCATTGCCATAAAGCTTTGTTCGTATTTAATACTGGCTTACCTGCATGGATGACATGGGCTAGACTAATATGCCTTCGATCCAAGTAGAAGCTCGCGGCGCTCCTACTGTATCGAACCGGTCAAACATAAACATGTTTCTCTGTGTTGCACCGTTGAACTTCCTTTGGCTTAAGCTCGGGCAGGAGACTTTAACCTGTCTGAAATCGATCTCTTATGCCGTCTGGGAATGCAGTGTACGTGGTAAACACTCTCGCCAACCCTTCGCTTGCGACCGCTTCAGATCTCCACTCTTGTAGAACTTGTGGAAGGCCAGTCACCTTGGCACAAGCGTGTATGTACATATATATATACATATACACACAGATTTAGTGTATGGATATATATGTATGTGTGTGT